GCCCCTTCCTGATAGATATTGCGCAGTCCCTTATATGTCTTTATGTCTTTGCTGTTGTCTGTATGTTGTATTTTTGATTTCTTTGCAAGAATATTCAACATAAAATTCCAAAAATTATTGACAATGTCAATAACATTTGATTCGCTATTTATCTCAAGTTTAGAATTAAAATTCGTCCTTGGCATTTTCAAAACCTTTAAATTCAGATGAATTTGTTATTGTCTTTCCAAGTGAACAGCGTTAATAGGATTGACTATATGTACAGGAACAGAACACCAAAAAGATTGCAATATTTTTTATACCAAATATGGTATCAAATATATGCTAATTAGTTCTAAATGTCCCGGAGAACAGTTATTGATTTATCATTTACCTTGCCGAGATGCACCCTCGTCCAGATCTACCAGGCGGTGGTTTGGGTACAATAGCTTCATYTTTGGAGTCGATCGGGTCTGGAACTTCATATTGGTCGTCTTCAGACCACCGTCTTCCCGCCAACACATCATTGCTTGTAAAGGCCTCGACGACATTATCATCGTCTTGACCTGCTAACTCGGTCAGTGTTGGCACACGATAAAAATCACCATCTTCCTCGTCGTTTTCCATGAAACCTCGATGACTCGGCTCGGCTTTATTGAGTCCACTGTAATCACCAGCGGTAATTTCAGTAAGGGTTGGTACGTGGCAAAGATCTTCACTGCCACTGTCCTTGTGTTCTCGGTTTAAAACAGCAGAGTCCTGCTCTGCATTAGCATTGTTAGATTGATAGGTTTGATTTTCACTATATGGCTCTTTGAAGTCCGCTATATTTTCGACAGTACATCGACTACTGTCACTAATTTTGTCAATTTTGTCTTTTTCATTATTTGATTTATTTGGTAATTGTTCACACTCGGTGGCATCAACTGCCTCTTTCTCGAAACTTGAGCTCTCTGTGAATGTTCTGTCGTTCTCAGATATTTTATCACACTCTTTCTCRTCATTTTGTGGGTTGTTTTGGGTATTTCTCTCCTCGATATCCAATTCAAGGTCGACGGCCTCGTACTCGTCATCAAACGAGCTTTTACTYCCTCTTTCTTCATCTGATTCGCACTCACTTTTAGTTTCATCAAAATTTGAAGCAATGTATTTTGATGATGCGACATTTCCARCATCAGGAATCGTCTCGCTGTCTTTCACCTCTAACTCATTCAACGTTTCCTTTGAGACCACAGAAGGACGAATGTGTACCGCATTCTGGGATTCTGTAGAGGAAACATCTTTGTCGAAGTTCACCGAATCTAGTTTATACTCGGCTACGTCGACATGGCAGCTTGCCGACTGGGCAGCATTGTTTGATATCTGCGCGGGAAGCTCGTACTGCATTTGATCTAAAATACTAGGAACGTTAAACAATTCTTGTTGAACTTTAAGTTGTGGTGCAGATGCWGAGGACTTSAGGCGAGGTCGCTCGAGAGATTGAGTTTGACGCTGACCAACCTCGATGTTAAGGTGTTCGACACTCGAAGTCTGACGCCATGACCCATAGCCCAATACTTCGTCACTTGGACCCAGGACATCATCAAAATCAGCGGCCAAGTACAAGTTATGATTTGATACGATAACCTTCTTTTCTCTGTGTCTTATGGGCGTGTCACCTTCCTCTAGGAAATTGACATGCAGCAATGGTGTAGGCATGACMACTGGGTTATCATGAATAACGTCATCATGATCACTCCATGGTGTACATGGGATAAAATCAGCGGCCACCTCATTTTCACCATGCTCAGTAACTACGATTTCTGGAGAATCTTGGCAAACACCGGKTTGTTGCACAAGTGKGGACTCTTCCAGTTGTTGCACCATTGGAGAACCTTCAGGTGTAACTATAAGCGTTTTCTGTGTTGCTTCTGCCGGAGAACTCCCAAGATCCACCGCGGCATAATTCGATGGTCCATCGTTGATGTCGTTACCCTTTTCAAAAGCTAATTTAGTAGGAGTTTCCATTTCCATGAATTCCTGGCCATTGATTTCCTGGCCATTTCCATGGTCTGGTGTTTTTGATGGTGTGATGAACGATTGCTGGACTTCTTTAACAATTGCCGATATCATTCCATTGGCTTCAAGATTTTTATCACTGATGACCTTTTGCTTCCCCTGAAAAATAAAATCAGATCACATATTGAGGCAAAGATAGGAAAATCATAGAAGACAATTAAGCGATTCCATTTTTTTTAGAAAAATAAGTCCGCGTTTAGCTTTTAAGAAGCTCAAAAAAAGTTCAAATAATCTACTTATTCTTGTGGAGGAATATCAATTTAATATTCTACAGCTTGATCACCCTAATTAGAACCCAATAAGCGCTGAACGCTATTTGAGAGAAGGATCTGGTTGTGCATCATTATCATCATGTTTTCCCTACTGTGAACGCACAACAGTCTAACGGCGCTCTCCCCTAAAACTGTTTTCAAGGAATTGCAAGAAATCGTTCTTCTTCATCATCCATCATTCATGAACACGGCACTGATTAGGAGGAGCCGACGGGTTCCTGGGATAAATATATCTGTTCTTATGTCCCAGCCAGCTGTAAGTCACAATTGGTTGCCAGCGCGAAATTCTGGAAAAAAGAACTCTCCAGGCAAGGAATGCTTTCTAAGAATTTTTGCCAGGAATTAAAATAAAAACTTCCTAACTAAAAACTAACTAACTAACTAAAAGCCGTTTTTCGCCATACAAAGGTTTGAAAGGAACAAAATTATTTTAAAGAATGAAGGGCGCCACATTTGATTGTGAGATTGTCAACAATCTAGCTTAAAATCTCTTTCCCAGGAAAAAATTCGTACAAGAACAGTTATTTAGAAGAACAGACCCCGTCGGCTCTTCCTGTGATATACACATAGAAAGCTCTCATGCATGTCTCAGTATATGTATTAACTCTTTCCTTCTAACTCTAAATTACATCTGCAGAGCGCCCGTTTTTATACAGATTTGTCTTATAATTGCATTATGTCAAAAACGTCAAAATTATCTTATATTAACTGAGAATATGGTAGAGGTGTTGCCTCATAATTAACGATAAGAAAATCAATAAAATATCATTCCTAAGAGACTTTCACAGAAATCGGTTTCACGACAATTAAAGTACGATATATAAGGCAACGCATGGCTGTCAAAAGGTCAACAGGTACATCGGTTTATATGACTTAGACCGATATTTAAATACGCGATTAACTTAATAAACATCGGGGGGTTAAGAGTCGTACACGCCATAACCTAACACGAGGTTACACAACTTTGACTGTAGGTGTACGTGCTCAAGAGACAATCATATGACTGACCTGTTGTATCTTGCCTTTGAAAATAACGCGGGCTTGTATATCGTACAAAATACATGCGCAAACCTTTGTTAATAATTATTGAGTAATTTCCGTAATAAAAACATTGAAAAAG